GGCTCCGGATCACTGAGTGGATAGAAACACATTATCTAGAGCCCTCGGGTCTCCCAACCACTGAGTTGTCAGGACAATTTAGAGTAATTGTGCTGTCCTGGTCTCGGGACCACTAAGTCAGCTGGAATGCACCACCTGTGGCCACTAAAACAATTTAGGGTAATTGTGCTGTCCTTTTTCCCAGGTACAGAAGAATGTGCTCTCTAAGACCAGTATGATAACAATCAATGGGATAGTCATTCAATTGAATGGGATGATTTATACAATTCAGAAAATCAAAATAACCTGTCCACTGTTAAACAAAGCAAATAAGTACCATACTTCACATACATACGTACCTGACTCAATACTTACCCTTACAACATTATGTTATTTTCTATTCTATTATGTTTTGGTTTCTTTGTTGTTTTTTGTTTTGTTTTTTAGAATGAAATACAGGATTTATTTGGGGGTAAGGTGGAGGGGGGTGAGGGAGGAGGCAGCCAGGGTCTAAAGACACCTGGGGTGTGAGCGAAGTATAGGCTGACGGTGGGCAGGAGTGGGTTTGTAGGCGGCCTGAATTAGACTTCTAACACTCAATCCTAACAGCAGAAACCTACGGTACAACTCTGAAAATGCTAACTTTCACACAGAAAGTCAGTCAAGAGCTAGACCTAAGGAGGAGGGTTTAGCTCAGTGGTTTTCAACAGAGAAGCAGTATGACCCCTACAAGCAGGTCAGGGGGGAGGAAGGTCTGGGTTCTGGTGAGAAGTGGCCATCAACAGGCAGGGCCAGGGATGCTGCATGCTCAGTGAATGACTGTCCTGCCTCAAATCCAGGGGCACCTGGTAATCTACCTGGGACCAAGCAAGGCTGGGAGGGGCTCCCTTCCCCTCTGCTACCTCTCTAGTTGGTGCTGATGGCTTGCCAAGAAGTTAAGCACAGCAGTCGGGACTTCAGGAGCTAGGAGAGTCTCAGGAGACCTGCACACAGCTGCTGCTCGGATCCTTTTCTGCTCAGGTGGATGGGCTGCAGCTAATTTATGGTGAGGACGTCACTCTGGATCTCGTGGCTTAACTGGGTCTGTGAATCACTCAGCTTCTTCAACCCAGAGAGGGCTGAGAGGACGATGGGGCGGGGCGCAGAGAGTCACAGGCCTCCACGTGGTAGTAAAACCTCTCTGGCTTGCTGCGGGGGTCGTGTGAAGTCTGGGACTCATCTTCCTCCAGCTCTGAGTACTCGCTCTTTGGCCACTCCTCTGGCTTGGGGTTCATTGTGTGCCTCAGGGCGCTGTTGGGACCGTATTCCAAAGCCACCCCTGCAGTCGGGTTCCACTGAGCATGTTCCTTGCCAAAGCCCTTTGGGGCAATAGGCGTACGGTCTCAGCTCCTGGCCTTTTCACAGTTTGACTACGAGGATGCCCGTCCTGGTCCACGTAGTCACTGGAGTGGTTATCTTGGCTCTGGGATGTCACTGGAATGACGCGGGGCTACTGGAGATGAAGGTCTCCGATATGTGACGTCATGAGTCTGGTCTTCGTGGCACCACACGTCCACATTGAACTCCACCGAGCTCTCGGGCAGAACTCACGCGTGCAGCCCCGGAGTACTGCAGCTAGTCCACAATGTCATTGCGAGTGAGGGGGTTCATCCAAGCCTGCGAGGACTGAGGAATTTAAAGAATTGGCGTCCATCTGAGCCCAGTCAATGGCTATTGTGGGCACCTCGGTGATGAAGACCCTTCGAGTAGAATTGGCCACCGCTAGGTCCGTAGTTTCCATGATGAACGTGACATTCTCGTTGGTGAGCTCCCTGATCCGCACGCTGGGCTGGTTGGCATAGGGCATCACGCTCAGCCGCCTGGCCGGCAGCCGGCATCAGCTGTTTTGGTGTTTTAATTCTTGGCTTCCATCAGCATTTTTTAAAGCTTTGTCTGGAGGTGGAGGGCATGTGGCTAGCAGCTGTCTCCTTCTTAGATCTTGGTTGCAGATGTGAGAACAGATGTTTGCTATTCGCTCCATAACGTCCTGGGCAGGATGCCAGTGGGGGTTGTCCTGCTATGGGTCTTTGAACTGATGGCCCATCTGTCCTGGACCTTGACAGGAGTGGGCGTAAAAGTGGGAATGCAGAGAGAAAGCTCATTAGACATGATCTTGTTCTGGGATTCGGAATGTGGCACTGAGTTACCCTGTTGGAGAGGTTATTCTTTTTTTTAATTTTTAATATATATATTAATATTTTTATTGATGTCAGAAAGGAAGGGAGAGGGAGAGAGAGATAGAACATCAGTGATGAGAGAGAATCCTTGATCAGCTGCCTCCGGCTCACGCCCTACTGGAGATCGAGCCCACAACCCAGGCCTGTGCTCTGATCTGGGACCTGGTGGTTCTTGGGTTGACGCTCAACCGCTGACCTGCCAGACTGGAAACTTTATTCTTTAAAGAAAATTTGTATCTTTGATTCAAGAGTTTCTAAAAATAAACAAACAGGAAACCAAGATGGCAGCATAGGTTAACGCCAGAGATTGCTGCCTTGAACAACCAATTCAAATTACACCTAAAAGACAGAACGGACATCATCCAGAACCACAGGGAGGCTGGCTGAGTGGAAATTCTACAACTAGGAGGAAAGAGAATATCATACCCAGACTCAGAGGAGGCGCAGTGCTGACGTGAAATTCTCAGGTGCGGAGTGCGCTCGGAGCGGGCTAGCGGCGGAGGGCGCGGTTGTTGTTTTCAATCAGGAGGGAGTTTCAGACTCTGAGCTCCAGATCCGGGCGAGTCTCTAGGGGCCCAGACTCAAACAGGAGAAGCGGGACTGTCTGGCCTCAGTTGGAACCTGAAGGCAGCTTTCTCTCCGAGGTTTGCAGCGGTTGCTGGGACTCTGTGAGGCAGAGCCCCTAGGGACTGAACTGAGAGCAGCCATAACTGCTCGCTCCACCCACCCTGTAGATCCCCGGGGACCCGCCCCGCCCAAGCCCTGTGCAGAGCCATTTGCCGGATAGCCTCAGGCAAACACTAGATTAGCACCGCCCTAGAGATCCAGCACAGAAGTTCTCCCACTGCAGACACAGCTGACTCTCATAGCCAGTTAGCCTGGAGGTCAAATCACCCCAGGTATTCCCAACATCAATCAAAGCTTAACTACAACAAGACTTCGAACAAATACCACTAGGGGGTGCACCAAGAAAAGATAAAAAAAATGCGGAGACAAAGAAACAGGACGGAAATGTCAGAAATGGAAGATATAGAGCTCAAAACCAACCACACTTTTAAGGTCTCTCAAGAACTGTCTAGAAGCTGCTCATAAACTTAGTAAGGCCTTCGAAAAGACTGGTGAGACCGCCAATAAATGTAGTGAGATCCTCAAGAAATCTAATGAGACCCTCGATGTTGTGATAAAGAACCAACTAGAAATTAAGCATACACTGACTGAAATAAAGAATATTATACAGACACCCAACAGCAGACCAGAGGAGCATAAGAATCAAGTCAAAGATTCGAGATGCAAAGAAGCAAAAAACACCCAACTGGAAAAGCAAAATGAAAAAAGAATCCGAAAATACGAAGATAGTGTAAGGAGCCTCTGGGACAGCTTTAAGCGTACCAACATCAGAATTATAGGGGTGCCAGAAGATGACAGAGAGCAAGATATTGAAAACATATTTGAAGAAATAATGACAGAAAACTTCCCCCACCTGGTGAAAGAAATAGACTTACAGGTCCAGGAAGCGCAGAGAACCCCAAACAAAAGGAATCCAAAGAGGACCACACCAAGACACATCATAATTAAAATGCCAAGAGCAAAAGACAAAGAGAGAATCTTAAAAGCAGCAAGAGAAAGAAACTCAGTTACCTACACGGGAATACCAATACGACTGTCAGCTGTTTTCTCAACAGAAACTTTGCAGGCCAGAGGGAATGGCAAGAAATATTCAAAGTGATGAATACCAAGAACCTACAACCAAGATTACTTTATCCAGCAAAGCTATCATTCAGAAGTGAAGGTCAGATAAAGAGCTTCACAGATAAGGAAAAGCTAAAGGAGTTCATCACCACCAAACCAGTATTATATGAAATGCTGAAAGGTATCCTTTAAGAAGAGGAAGAAGAAGAAAAAGGTAAAGGTACAACTTATGAACAACAAACATGCATCTATCAACAAGTGAATCTAAGAATCAAGTGAATAAATAATCTGGTGATCATAATAGAATCAGGGACATAGAAAGGGAATGGACTGACTATTCTTGGGGGGGAAAGGGGTGTGGGAGATGCGGAAAGAGACTGGACAAAAATCGTGCACCTATGGATGAGGACAGTGGGTGGGGAGTGAAGTGAGGGCGGAGGGTGGGGCGGGAACTGGGAGGAGGGGAGTTATGGGGGGAAAAAAGAGGAAGAAATGGAATAATCTGAACAATAAAGATTTAATTAAAAAAATAAATAAAAATAAACAAACAAACAAACAAGGTTAGAAATGCAGGTATCTCCTGTTGTACACAATAATCTGTTATTGAAAAAAAAACACCCAGTTGTTTTGCATGAAAATGATAAACTAGAGTCTGTTTCTCATTTTATTTCAGATAGGAAAAATTATACTTTGTCAGCCCCAAGCTCTCAACTAATTCTTTAAACAGGTAAGTAAAGTGTGGTAATACATTGTGTGTGTATAT